AGCTGATTGATGTGGCCCTCGGCCTCTTCAACTTGGCGGAGGAGGTCACCGTTCTCAACCACCAGTTTCTTCTTCGAGGCATCCAGGTCATTGAGCGTGCGGTTGGCCTCGTCCAGCTTCGAATGCGAGTCGTTCAGTTCATGCTGAAGTTGCTTGATGCTCTTTTCAGCTGCGGCCTGAAAGAGAGGGAGCGAGGCGCACTTAGGTTTGGCCCGACAGGAAGTCTATAGAAATATGATTGTATGTTTATGTACTTTGAGGGGGTTTTAATTTCGGGTTTCATGATAGATTTATTATGTGTTAAAAGTTATAGGAGTATCTGTATGTATATGCATGTATGTATTGTGTATGTGTGTGAGCGTGTGTGTGTGCGTGCGCGTGCGTGCGTGCGTGTGTGCGTGTGTGTGTGTGTGTGTGTGTGTGTGTGTGTGTGTGTGTGTGTGTGTGTGTGTGTGTGTGTGTGTGTGTATGTGTGTGTGTGTGTGTGTGTGTATAAAAACAATAATAATAATGATAATAATAAAATGATAAGGATAATGAAAACAATAACAATGATAATATAATAATGGCGATAACAATAATGAAATAATAATAACAATGATGGCGATAACAATAACAAAATAATAATAACAATAATAATAATGATAATGAAAATAATGTTAATAATAGTAATAACAATATTGATTATAATAATAATGATGATGATAACTATAATTCGATAAAAGATCATACACACACATTCACACACACGCGCGCGCGTATGTGTGTGTGTGTGTGTGTGTGTGTGTGTGTGTGTGCGCGCGTCTGCATCTGCTTCTGCGTGTGTGTGTGTGCGTGTGTATGACTTGAAGATATTGTGACTTACTTTGTCGCGAGAGAGAGCGTCCATGGCAGCCTTGGCGTCATCAGCCTCTCGTTTCAGAGCCTCCTTATCAGACTCAGCCCTGAAAGTTGAAATATCACCTCTTTAAAACTTTAATCTTTGACGGTGAACAGTTATTTCCATCGCATGCAATCTGGATGAAAATTATATATTCTAATGCTTCCAAATGCGCTTATGCTTACCGAGCCTTCATCTTGTTCAGGTGATCGATCTGATCCGACATTTCGGCAACGGCGTCATTATGCTTCTTTCGCAGCCCAGCGACTGCGGCCTCATTCTGGATGTTCACCTCCTCTAGTTCGCGGCGCAGTTTCACAAGTTCAGCCTCGCGCTTCTTGTTGAGTTCGATCTGGGCGGCGGTGGCGCCTCCGGCCTCGTCCAGCCGCTCGCCGAGCTCTTCGAGTTCGCGTGCAAGCAGCGTCTTCGATTTCTCGGACTTCGAGCGCGATTGACGCTCGTGTTCAACTTCTTCCTCGAGCTCTTCGATGCGAGCTTGGAGTTCCTTGACCTGGCGCTGGCTCTTTCCAACCAAACCTTGCTCCTCCTCCAGCTTTGAAGAAATTGACGAGATTTCTTTGTCCTTTCGCTGAACAGTTTGTTCCAGTTCTTTCTGGTTGCGTTCGAGATCAGCAACGGCTTCCTGAGTCAGTTTCAAATCGCCCTCAACCTTCCTCTTGGACTTTTCAACCTCTCCCCGAAGTTTCTTCTCTCTCTCAAGAGAGTCCTCGAGCTCATCAAGCGTCTGCTCAAGCTTTGCTTTAACTTTGTTTAGGTGATTGCACTTGTCTTCGACGTTCTGCAGATCCTCGGCAGTCTTTTGGTTACATTCCTGGAGATGTTTCTTTTCTTTATTGATTTTATTGATCAGCTCATCCTGGTGGGCGATTTCGTCGTTCAGGTTGCGGATCTGGTGGTCCTTGGTAGATTTGTCTTGTTCAGCCTTTTGAACAGCGAGTTCAAGATCTTCCACATCCTTCTTCAAACCGCCAATTTCTTGGTCGGTTTTCTTTTTGCCCTGGAAGAGCTGATTTCGAGATTCCTCTTCCCTCTGTAAGCGGTCCGTTACTTCCTGTGGGAGTGAGAGGAGAAAAGAATGTGTTATTTCATACTACATTATTTTTACCTTGAATCCATGTATATGCAAATCTGATTCATAAATCTCTCATGCTACATAAGATATAAGGTAATGTGTTTCTGAATTCATTTGATATAATTTGCGTATTATGTGCATGTATTAAGTATGTAAAATACAAAATATCAATTAACCTTGAGCTGCGCCTCCAAATCGGTCTTCTGGGCCTGAAGCTTAGCTTGCTTATCCAGGAAATCAGAAACATTGCCTTTGGTAGATTCAAGAGTGACCAAGAGGTTATTTTTCTCTTCCAGCAAGGCTACGTTGGCTGCTTCAAGTTCCTTGCGAAGTTTGGCTTCGCGTTCATAGTTTTCTTGAGCCTTGGCTGCCTTCTCCTCGAGGGCTCGGATTTCATCCTCTACGCGAGTAACGTTGAGCAAAGGCTTCACCCTCTGCCACATGCGGAACCAACCCCAGTTGCGCAGACGCATGTACTTCCTCAAGTTGCGCTGAACAACGATGAGAGCGGTCCTCTGTTCCATAAGTTTCTCGTAGGATTTCCTGCCAGAGAAGCCTCGGATCCAGGCTTGAAGCCAAGACAAGATCTTTGAAAGCCGGTCGTCACGAATTTCTTCGAGATTACCAAGCACTCCAGCGCGGAAAAATACCTGTGGCATAAACCATTCGATTAGTTTTGTATTACAGTGAGGGAATACAAAATTAATCAAAAAAAAAAAAAACTAGATATTCTATTAGCATATAAGACGTTCATGATGCCTTTATATAGATGATATTAATATTTCACCCAGGGACTTAGAAAAGGCTTCCTCAGAACCAAAGTGATACTAAAGTGGACTCGAAATGTTTCAATATCCCATACTTCAAGAAAAGTGTAGAATAATTAGCATACGTATTAAATGAGGGGAGGTAATAAATGTGCATGCAGAGTAGAAGAGAAATGCAGGATTCAGAATTCTCGACACTCTAACTTAGTTAGAATTCAGAATACTGGGGGAAAGCATATCAACAACTAGAATCGTAGAGGGTATCCTCACTTCGAGGGCAGACTCTACTTATACAACTTTTAGGAGAGATGAAGGAATTAGGAGGGATTGTTTATGCAAATAGATATATACACAGGGGAGAGGTGTTCAAACATCAAGTACAGGAGATTTTAACGTGTCGCACTTCTTAAGTGGTTTTCGACGTCGGTGGGGAAGGATATACTGGGGAGGGGGAGGTACATCATCAATTCCCTTGACATTTCATATTTTACAGTACTGGAGCTTATACAAATATTTAGGTATCATTCTACGGGTACGGAAAGGTGTAGAAAACGGAGGGTTCAAAATAGGAGATAAATGTTCATCCGAGGCACGGAAAACCCGTCTCTGTAACGACCTTGGTGTTGCCACAGCGATACATTTCTGCGTCTAAACCAGCCTTTTCGAAGCACGCTATGGCTGCCTTCTTATCTTCGGTGCCCTCAGCCATCTCCTTGGGGGCCAGGATCTTGTAGCTATTGGAGGAGGGACTCTGGTCAAGAATTGTCTCGTGGGTTATGCACGAGAGGAAAGAAGCCACTTGAATTGTGGACCGCTGCGTCAGATCTGCTAGGAGGCTTCCAATCTATACCCACTGTATAGACTGCGTACATGTACGTATGCATGTGTGTATATATACGTATATACATATATATATATATGTGTGTGTGTGTGTGTGTGTGTGTGTGTACATATATGTATACATGTACTTATATATATACTTGATTATATATATACATGTGTGTGTGTGTGTGTGTGTATGTGTGTGTGTGTGTGTGTGTGTGTGTGTGTGTGTGTGTGTGTGTGTGTGCATGTGTGTGTGTGTGTGTGTGTGCATGTGTGTGTGTGTGTGTGTGTGTGTGTGTGTGTGTGTGTGTGTGTGTGTGTATGTGTGTGTGTGTGTGTGTGTAGATGTGTGTGTGTGTGTTTATATCTATATATGTATTTATTTACATATTATATATATTTATATATATATATATATATATATATATATATATATATATACATATATATATATGTATATATATATATATATATATATATATATATATATATATATATATATATATACATATATATATGTATATATATATATATATATATATATATATATATATATATACATATATACACATATATATATATATATATATATATATATATATATATATATATATATATATATATATACTCAATACAAACAGCGTTAATTGAAAGCATTGCAGCTAATATTGTCAAACAGAAGATTGAAGTTTACTTTGTTGGCCTTCATTAATCTATTATATGATATGCGAAGATTGAGAATAATGAAACATCACTCTTGAAGAAGCCAAATCGATGGTAACAACAATATCCATCGTAACCTGTGACTGCCAGGAGGATTAGTGAAGGTCACCTGAACCTTTAATAACCTCAGAATTCTATATTGCATTTATATTTACTAAGTAGCTTTCATACCATGCACTGGTTACTTATATTTCCCATACAGGACTACTCTTGCCAGCTTTAACGTAAGAATGCTATGGTTAGAATTACATAGAATATAAGGAATTCTTAACGGTATGCAGCATTCTGCTTTAAGAATCACTCCTATATTTTCTTAGTTGTCTTCTATACCATGCCTTGGTTACTTATATTCACAATATATATGAATATCCTATGTCCTCTATATTAAATTATTCCTTTCTCTAAGTCATTTTTACATGCTTTTCTAACTTATTGCCTTATTATCTAACATTTAGCAGTTTGTTAAATGAAGACCCACCGGTGCCTGAAATCAGGGTAAGGCATCCTGTTGGGGAAGCCCTTGCGGCAGATACGGATGCCCTCGAGCACACCGTTGCAGGTCAGCTGATGCATAACGAGGGGAGCCTCAACAACACCTGTGAAAAAAGTGCGCATGAGACTGAGATGGATCTAATTCACAAGTCAAACTACGGTGAAAATTTTAGAGACTGATATTTACAGTGATACTGATCCTCTCTCTCACTCTCATTATCATTAGTAGCATGGCGTTAGAGTTACACAAGTAAAATATGTATGCTCACTTTATAACAGAAATCGATATTATATCACCGACATCACATTTACTTTATCATGTTTCCATGTTTGGAATACATCTATAAGAAAGAGGAATAACAAGAAAATAAATTCCTGTATTCCCACCTGGTGACTTGGTCTCGTTGGGGACAATGCAGCGGATGAAATGAGGCTCCGTTGAGTTCAGGGTCTTCATCAGGTTGTTTAGCTGCTCCTGGGTAAGGGAAACATCGGGTTAAGGGAGGCCTGGAAAAGGGCACTGGGGCTGCTGATCGTATACGTATTGTAGCAAGGAAAGGCAACAGTGAATGTAAATGCTTACCCTATACCCAGACGACACCGTTTTAAAGCCACCTGATCCCTTGCCTCGTCCACCTAAAGGGTAAATTAGTTTTTTATCTAGCTATAACAATAATTTATTCATTAGTTATTAGTCCTGTAAATACTGGGAAGTTTTGTAGAAACTGTATGAATCACTGACATATGATTATCACTTAACACAATAAATATCAATATAATTTATTATACATGTATTATCTGCTATGCCGTGTACCTTTTCCGCCACCGGCGTCACCGGTCTGGCCGGGGTGGTCAGAGAACAGCTCCACGATGAGAGCGTTGCCGGCCTTCTTGAGCTGGTCCACGACGGTGTCGTTGAGGGGGTCCTTGTTCTTCTCGAGCCAGCCAGAAAGGTTGTAGGGCACCGTGCCGGCGTAGTGGACGATGGCGAAGTGGGCCTCGGCCTGGCCGGGCTTGGCAGGTTTGGGCTTGATGAAACAGGGAGACTTCCCAAGGTGGTTGGTCTTCAGTTTCTCCTCAAAGGTTTTGTCCGTTGCCTTTGGGAACATGGACTCCTCTTCCAGGATGGAGAGAATGCCCATTTTCTGATGACAGAAGACAGTTTATGTTATATCTCATGATGTAAGATTGGATATAGGACTAAAGATAAGTTTATTTTTTGTAGCTTCACTTGCTGTGACTATGCCTTCTGTCATGATTGAGTGATTGTGTTCCCAAATACAAAGGGGTTTACCTTCTCGAAAAGTTCAATGCAGGCCTGCAGATCCATACCGAAATCGACAAACTGCCAGTCAATTCCCTCTTTCTTGTACTCCTCCTGCTCTAGCACGAACATGTGGTGGTTGAAGAACTGCTGCAACTTCTCATTACAGAAGTTGATGCAGATCTGCTCGAAGCCGTTGAACTAGGGATGCAAAGCATATAATACAATACAGAATGTTTGAAAATAGAGGACGTTATCATAAATATGATTTTTTACTATTTGTAATCATATGATATCTAACAACTTTTAGGTGCAGAACCTAATTCAACTTACATCGAAGATCTCAAAACCGGCGATATCAAGCACTCCGATGAACATGGCGCGCTTCTGGCCAGTTTCGAGTGTGACGTTGCACTTCTTGACCATCCATTTGAAGACGCGATCGAACAGCGCCTTGGCCATGGCGCCAACAGAGTAGGTCACTTGATCTACGTTTCTGCCCTGAGTTACAAATTCGGCGCCGACCTTAATCTTGGGTTTGCACAAGTTCTTGTACAGTTCGTCGCCATCGCAGAGAAGCAATTTTGCCACCAAATTGCCGGCCTGAAAATAAAACAATACATGGCAATTTGGAAAATAAATCTTATTCTTAGGTATAACCAAATGTATATAATATAGTTTTACGCACATCAGTGCCGTCAGGCTCGGCCTGTTCCTCGCGACCCCTCTGCTTGAACTTGCAGTTGCCTAAATGCATGACAGCCGCTGTCACCTTGTAGCAATCACTTCGTTCTTCCTTGCTGAAGTTCAGAATGTCGAAGGCTTGCTGTAAATACAAATTTGGGGGTTATCGCAATTCATATAAAACGAATCAATAATTAAACTATATATTGCAGCTAATGAAGTAAAGGAAACAACCGTTAATGGCATATTGACTTACGTGAGTGAACTCCATGTCTTCTTTGTCGTCGATGGAAGCGACAGTGACTTTGCCTTGAGACACATAGTGGTAGTCGTAGATATCGTTACTCAGGAGACACAAAGCTGAAATTAGGCAAGAAAGGGATATTTTAGGAAAATGAGCATAATACAGGGCATCATTCAACACCAATCCTCGGAAGAGATAATTTACATTCCCCAAAAGACAAAGTGAGAAGGTTGAAATGAGGAAATTTTATGATTTGCAAAAGGTGTCTTTACTACCCAAGCTTTTTACTCACTCCTACTTACGTTTAATTTCTGGGACCTGGTCGGACATTATTTGATAGAAGATGTGGTAGGAGCGCTCGAGAGACTGCTGCGAGATGACGCGAGCCTTCTCCAGCAGATACACCTCGATGTCGCCGCCAGAGAGCTTGCCGTTGGGGGCGAAGTGGATGCGGATGAACTTACCCTGTTAATAGGAAAAAATACATGGACTTCATTAGTGACAGTGTTAGCTGAGAGAGGAAAGAGAAACTGTTATTTACTAGCTATAAAGGGACAAGTGTCCCACAATGGTTTACAGCTGCTGTATGAACTACGCTATACTTACAAAGCGGGAAGAGTTGTCGTTTCGAACTGTCTTGGCGTTGCCAAAAGCCTCCAGGACAGGGTTTGTTTGGACAATCTGATCTTCCAAGTTCTGCAAGAAATAAACTTGTGATAATGAAGTCACATAAGGAGCTGTATAACTCTGACATTCTTATAGTAAGAACGCAATATTTCCTTTAGCCAATGAGGTGTTTAAACACTTTTCATAGTCCTTTGTAATTACCGGCCTATTCTCGCCTTCCTTCTTCTTAGTTGACGCGCCGACGTTGGCGAAGTAGGACAGCACCTTCTTCGTGTTCTCAGTCTTGCCGGCGCCAGACTCCCCACTGGGATTATTAAAGCAAATATAAAATGTCTTAAAAGCAATTGTCAGTTATTCCATATCTATAAGGATATTTAATTAT